GGGTGAGAGGGCGAGAGGACGCATGCCCGCCCTCTGAGGCGGCCGTCCGAGTCAGGGAGGCAAACACACAACCATCCTCGCGGGTGTGGGCGGCCTTCTCGGCCCGCTATACTAACCCTTGAAGTCGGCCCTTCCTCGTGGTCGGCTGAACTACACACACACACTAAGGCTAGATACCTGTCGGTGGAGAGACCACTTCACAGCTGTATGCCTTGCTCCTTTAGGTGCCCTTTGTATATCTGACTCTTCCGCATGAGACTGCCTGAGTACACTGTCTTGTTAACACAAAGTTAGAGTTGTTTGGTATTGCTAAAAATCTCTCTCTTGTTATTCTTTTGTGCTTTGGCGTCTTGTGTGGTGTGGGTTGTTCCCCCTTCGTTGTACCCCCGCCCAGAGATCCTTTGCCTATGATGCTTTTTGTGAGTGAGTGAGTATTCTTGATACGACCACACACACACACTGATGCTTTTTGTGTTCTCTCTGGGCCTTTGTGTATCGCGCGCCTTGCGGGGGGGGCGCGGAAAAGAGGAACCTCTTAGCGCCATCGCCACGGTGCTGCATGCAGCGCCGGGCGACGACGGCTTACCGCCTCCCGGTCCCCCTCGGCACACCTCCGCTGCTTAATGTTTGGCGACTCGAACCCGTGAAGCTTCCCCGTGCGCGGGTTACCCCGCACACGGGTCAGCGAGAGAGAGAATTCTTGATACGAAACCACGACGACACACACCAGTCGACTCGCATCGGTTGCCTCCATGAACGGCGGAGCTATTCTCGCGCCCACACCACACCTGGCTCCAACGTGGACACGCCCATAGCTGGGGACACTACTAGGTCACGCATGGCATCACAGAAGTTTTATCTCTGGGCCCCGAAAGGCATCTCTAGCAGTGTCGTTACACATGCCCCCTCCCCTCCTGGGCGCATGCGCCTCACGTCTCGCCAGAGCATAAGCCCTTGGCGTGTGGCGAGACGAGTTTTTCGCCATCGCAGCGAGCAGCAAGCCGCCCGCCGCAAACAGCCGGAGGCATCGCCACGGCACTGGCTGCGCCGCGGTCCCGCACCCGTCGACGCAGCTCCCCCCGCGGAAGACCGCGCGTAGCAACGTCTTGACGATCGAGATGAGCGTGCCTGAAGCTCGCCCACCTACTGCCCCTGAGAGTTGGTTACGAGTGGGATCAGCTCCCCCCCTTGGGATCACAGCTTCCACGACCTCACACCCAACATCACAGGCGGGATCAAAAGGGGACTCCACACCGGACACCGCCCGGGCACAGACCCCCTACCCGTCGGATTGCACAGGGCCCCCTCGGAGCAGCCCACACACAATCACGCATCGGCAGATTGAGTGCCTGAGTCAGGCAGACAGCACAGACAAGGAGAGGAGAGAGAGAGGAGAGAGAGAGAGAGAGAGGGGAGAGAGGAGATGGTGAGGGAGTGTGCACGCGTGTGGAGCGGGGAGGGTGTCTGTGGTGGGTTGTAGTCATACTACGTGGTTAAAACCACGCGCCCCTCAGGAGCTTAAGGTAGAGTGGAGCGTCCTAGACGCCTCAGTGCCTCCCACCGGGTGAGACCATCCGGATCTGCCCAGCGCGCCCTCCGGGCGGGCTGGTCCCCGCGATGGCCCACGGTCCTCCGTCGCCTGGTTGAACCCCCTGCCTCCCGGTTGACCCCCCGGTCCCCGTACACGACCATGAAATAAACTCAAAGTCCACCACAGCCACCAGCCTCCACCTCCACCCGCGAGCCGCCACCGCTGCCGCCCGCGACGCCGCCCGCCGCGTCAGATAGCCGCGACGCGCGCATCGAGTCGCGTCGGAGAGCCGCGCCGCACCAGCAGCAGCATCTGCACCACCAGCAGCAGCAGCAGCACCACCACCACGGGTCAGCCTTCCGCTCCTGGCCAGCGTGAATCCGCTGACCTAACGGGGGGGGGCGGGTTGGGCGGCGCGCGAGAACCCCTCAAGCCCTCGCATACACACAACACACAAATACACATATGCGGGCGAGCGCCTGCCTGTCCTACGCGCAGCGCGGCCCGCTGTTCTCGCGGCTGCAGCCTGCTGTGCCGCCGGCCGAGGAGTGGGCGCGCCACGGCGGGGAGTTGGCCTCGGAGCTCTGCGGCGGCGCGGCGGCGACGGCGGCGGCGCCTGAGGAGCTCGGCACGGCGGCGGCGGCGCGCATCTTCCACCTCTACCTCCCGCTCTACTTTTGGTGCCTCGGCCGCGCGCGCCAGGCGCCCACTGGCCGCGCGGTCGGCATCGGCATCTCGGCGCCTCAGGGCTGCGGCAAGACGACGCTGGTAGACACGCTCGTCGGCCGCTTTGCCGCCGACGGCCTGGTTTGCGCGGCCGCGTCGTTCGACGACTTTTACCTGACGCACGAGGCGCAGCGCGAGCTCGCAGCGGCGCACCCTACCAACCGGCTCCTGGAACTGCGCGGCAACGCCGGCACGCGCCTCTCTCCTCTCTCCTCTCTCTCACTCACTCCGCCGCCCTCCCGCCACACACACTCTCTCCTTCTCCCTATCTCACCGCGGCCTCTCCAGGCTCACACGATGTGGCCCTCGGCACTGCGACGCTGCGCGCGCTGCTTGATCGCGAGGCAGAGCTGGCCCTAGAAGCGGAGTATCTCCCCCTATCTCCCCCTATCTCCCCATATCTCGGGCCCTAGAAGCGGACTACGTGTTCATGTCTCCCAGCCAGCGCTCGAGAGGACACGCACTCGGCCGCACTCCGCCGTATTCCGCTGTACTCACTGTCTTCCTAGCCGTTGTCTTCCCGCCGTGAACACGCTGTATTCACGCCCTCGTGTCGGCGTATTCACACCGCTCACCCACGCGCACCGGGCCTTGCACTTTGGATGCCGTGGGGCTCCTGCCGTCTAGACGTGGAGACGCGAGGGTCGCCCCCCCTTGCCCCACCACCTCGTGTGTGTGGAGAAGTTTACCTTACCTTACCTTACTTACGTAGGCAGAGGTCGCCGTGCCGCGATACGACAAGGCGGCCTTCGGCGGCCGTGGCGACCGCGCGCCTGAGGAGGCGCGGCACACACACACACACACACACACACACACGCACACACACACACACACACACACACACACACACACACACACACACACACACACACGCACACACACACACACACACACACACACACACACACACACACACACGCACACACACACACACGCCACACACACACACACACACACACACACACACACACACACACACACACACCGCTCACCCACGCGCACCGGGCCTTGCACCTTGAATGCCGTTGGGGGCTCTTGTCGTCCAGACGTGGAGTCGCGAGGGACTAGCCTGGCCCTCGCCCCCACCACCTCGTGTGTGCGTGGAGAAGTCAACCTGCCCTTCCCTTCCCTTAAGGCGTGGCACGTGCAGCGCGATCCGGTGGACGTACTCCTCTTTGAGGGGTGGATGGCGGGGTTTGCTCCTGCCGGCGACGCCGCGCGGCTCGCGGGCCTCGACCCCGACCTGGCGCTGGTCGACTCCTTCCTCCGCGGGTACGCAGAGTGGCACGACAAGATGGACGCGTGGGCGGTCATCGGCATCGACGACTTGTCGCACGTATGCGCGTGGCGCACGCAGGCGGAGCAGGCGATGGCCGCCGCCGGCCGGCCAGGCACGCCCGAGGGTTTGCCCGAGAGTTTGCCCGAGATTGATCGAGGTTACCAGAGACTGCCCGCGTCAGGCATGGACGACGCCGCCGTCGCCGACTTCGTCTCGCGCTACCTGCCCGCGTACCGCGCCTACCTCCCCGCGCTCTACACCGCCGCGCAGGCGGGCGGCGTCGGCGGCAAGCCCACGCTGCTGGCGCGCGTCGACGGCAGCCGGCGCGTGGTGCCCACCGCGGAGCTCGGCGCACCGAGCGGGTGAGCGGGAAGGGCCTCCAGAGTGGTTTTACATCGGCCTCAAAGACAAAATCAAGTAGGGCGAACACTCAAGAACACAGCGCACTCTTATTCACCTTACTTACACCGGGTTTCATTTCACGTTCTCAGAGTCAGACTTATTTTGCTTTTCAGAGAGTTGTTGGTGACAGGTGAGGCTTCTGTGCCACGTGCCAGTGCCAAACTGAAGTCCAATGTGCACTCATCACATCACGTCTCTTAACGGCATGAGACGAGAGTTGCACGCACCTGATCGTGCAATGGTCCGCGCCGGGGTAAAGCCGTAGAGAGGCACCGCCACCAGATGAAACAGCGCGCAAGGACGCAAGCGCCCCGCTCCTTATCCTGCCGCGTGCATAGCGTTCCAGTCGTCGGCGAGGTGCTGGATATTAAAGAGTTTTATTTGGATATTAAATGGCTTGAGGGCGAGCCGAATGGCTTCCACCACGTCGCTGCCCGCCATTGCGGCGACGCGTGGCGGCGGACCTGACAGTTTTGCCGCGCGACGGGCCGCGCGCGCGTTTCGAAAAAAGAAAAGTCCGTAAGCTCAGTCGATCGATTTCGACGAGCGAGCGATCCGAGGATCGAGCGGGGGACCGATAGGCTAGAGAGGTCAACGCTGATCGATCAACGTCAGCCGAGACGCCCGAGTGAGTGGCTCACTACACGGCTTTTAGTGTGGTAGTACAAGATAGACTCACATGGTCACAAGTCTTTAGTAAAACGCCAGCGCTCGACACGACGAAGGTGTATTGGGCTCGAAGGCGCGGTGAACACAACCGCCTCGAGCGTACCGCTAAAACACGAGCCGAGGTGGGAGGGGGTGGCGTCGGCGAAGAGGCAGGAGCCGGGAGAGCTCGGTCCAATGCCCCCTGCTGCGACCCACTCGGGGTAGGTGGAGGCGAGGACGCCGCCCTGCGTAAAATGGGCCTGCGCCGCACCTGCCGGCCAGTGAGATTCTCTCCGTATTGTGCCTGAGTGTACAGCTAGCCTCTCTCCGTACCCTCCAGGTGGAGAGTGATCGCTCGCGCGCTCGTGACCCCAAACAAACAAACAAACAAAGCCACACGGTCGCGGCGGTCAACGCAGGCTCAGAACGTGGAGTCGTGGTGGGACCTGTCCGGGTGTTGTGGAGTCGAGGACGAGCTATCATAGAGCAGCTCTTCTCCATAGCTGCATGTACCCTGAATGCACGCTGCTACGCTCAGGCGCACCTCCTGGCTGGTGAATCTCGCCGCTTGGCTCAAGCACGAAAAGACGCCGGCGGTTGACCCAGACTGCGAACCCAGACCTTGCTCGAGACCTTGCTTGAGCTTAATCTCTTGGGAGTGGGTTACACAAATGTAAATACATTTCTGTACAGGTGGGTGAGATAATTCATGTGGTTCAGGCCGCGCTGAACTCGCGGCGCGCCCGCGGAGCACGAGATCTCCTCCATACAGGTCCCAAGCAGGCTAGACTGTAAAGTGGAGATAGGTGGACTCAAGCTACTTAACCTCATTCTCAAACGGTAGCACCTCCACGCGTCTCGGGCGCTTGCGCTCTTTGCGTGACTGTCGGCGCCGCTTGATATTTCTGCGAGCTCATTCACTCTCGAAGAACATGGGCTCCAGCTCGTGGATGAATATGTTGTCCGTCTCCAACGGCTTCGCTGCTTCGGCGGACTCGGCCGCCCCAAAGTCGCAGCTGAGAGGAATGGCGTGAACCTCCCGATCAGAGAGCAGCGCTGCCCTGGTCGCGCGCGAGGGCGCACGCAGAGCGATACTCTCCGGCTCGCAGCCACGTCGGCACATGTCGCCGAGCAGCGGGAGCGACAAGAGCGTGGACTCGTGTGCGTCGGGCGCAGACACGCTCGCCACGGGATTATCGCGCCACTGGTCGCGCGGCAGGCACCAGCGAGGCAGCGGATTGCCCAGCGATGCAAACGCCTCGATCGCGTTGCGGGCAGGCTCATCATCCGCAGACGGCAGCAGCGGCGGCTCGTCCCACGTATTGAAGAGGAGGACTGCACGGCGCCCCTCATCCACAGGCTGCTCATCGCCAAGGTAGGCCAGTGTGGGATAAGGCACCGAATGGAGGGCGGCACCATCAAAGCGCAGCAGTCGGTTCGACGTCGCTGGCACAGAGTACAGCGTGGACGGCCGTGGCGCCTTGCCATCGTTGCGGGGCAGTGCATCGCCGACATCTTCGTCGAAGATGCACGTGGGCGCGCGCACGCAGCTCGCCACGTCGAGATAGAGAACGTGGCCCCAGTGTGGGCAGCGCTGGTGGCCATAACCGTCCGGCCCGAGACGAATGCGGCGGCATAGCGCCTCGTCAACGTCACGATGAGGGTCGATGGGCTTCCACTGGTCTCGGTACCAAAACTCGACGAAGCGGGAGTCATCGTCAAGCTCGTCCAGCAGAGAGTTCAGTGCGGCCTCGATGATCGTGCGGCCGCCGCGACACGGGCCGTCCTCGGGCCGCCGGTCGTAGACGCTCGTGAAGGAGTGCCCTCTCTGAGCACATGCAGCTCGAACCAGGTCCAACTCGCGCGCAGCGAAGCATCCGTCCCACACGCGAATGGATGGAGCGGTGCTGTGCAGCCAGCCGCACGACTCACACACAAAGAGCAGGACTGTGAGGGCAAGAGCCCGGTGCAGCATGCCGAACAATGGAAGAGTCCCGAGTGACCAATTCATGTGTGAGGGCCATGTGTGAGTGCTCCCGGCATCCCTGGCGTGGTTTGACTTGACCTGTACACGTTATTCTTCCCGATTTGTCACTACGTGCCTCCGCGAAGGGATGTAAAAGATCTTGCTCCCAGCGCTTGCGCTTCGGCGGTTAGTGGTGCACTAACCTCCGAGAAACCCTTCGGGTCGCTCCTCATCGCAAACCCTGTCAGTCAGCAGAGTCTCCTACGGGAATGTACGTAAGAGCTACATACACTGAAAAAGGTCGAAGGGACGAGGACGACGAGGAGCCCGGCATCCAGGGCCACCAGGCGCAGCTGCCGACGCGGCTGCAGCTCGGCGTGTTGGTGGGCACAGGTGTTGGGCCCGCAGCTTTCCAGCTGCCCGTGCGCTCACGCTCGCGGCCTGCCGCCTCCACAGCGCTCGTGCTGACCCTGGTGGCCGACTTTACCAGCTCGACATGCCCCGTGCGTCACCGTGCAGCAGCAGAGCTACGAGGACGAATCAGATGAACTTGGCGTACAACCGAAAGAACTCGTTCTCCGCGGACGGACGTGCTGCTGCTGCTTCCCGCGATTCGTGCTTCCCGTGATTCGCACGAAAGTTCCCGATCAGAAGCCCCACCAACACAGCCGTTCGACAATGCTCCCGCGCCGCTCACTCACCACCCTCATCACGATATTCGGTCTGGCAGCTCCGCCTGCTGCAGGGCACGGCATGTTGATGCACCCGCCGAATTGGTTCATGAGCAACGGCTTGCCCCGCGTTTGTCCGATGACGGAAGGTGCTGATTGGAGTATTGGAGCGATGTGGTACACCAACTACACGCACGTTCCGGAGGGCACCCCCATCATGCCCCATGATGACCCACGCCGAACGTTTACAGACTATTCCGACTTTCCCGGCTACGGGCCAGGCGTCTATTCGCCCAGAAACCCGTGGCGCGCTCCCGGTGCTGCACCGATCAACGGGCCATGCGGGGCCTTCGGCGGAAACATGTTTGGGTGCCACCACCACGACGGAACGCCGGCTCCGTGCGTGGTAGGTGGAACAGCCTTCGGCCCTGACGCCCGCGACAGCTACGTTCATGGCAAACTGGGCAAGAACATCAAGCGAACGCGTTGGCAGCGGGGCCAGGTGGTTGAGGTCGCCTACATTATGTACTCAAATCACGCCGGAGGCTACTCGTATCGGCTTGCACGGCAGTCACCGAACGTGTCAGAGGCCGAATTCCAGGACGGGCACCTAGACTTTGTCGGCGATACCCACATTGTCCAGTGGGGGCCAAACAGGTCGACCCGGAAGACGATTCCGGCCGTCTACACGACAAATGGTACCCACCCTAAAGGCTCGATGTGGGCCCGCGGCCCAATCCCCACGTGCGCGCATGCAAACGGCGGCTATGTCTGGCGGGGTGGATCAGCGATTGACTGCGAGCCGTACCCATGGCGCGCGGAAACCCGGCAAAAGACTCAATTTCCACCTCCGCTGCCCGGGCTGTACGGCTGGGGTACCGACTACACCGACCTGAAGACGCACCAACCTGGGCATTACATGCCCTACTTCATCATCGATCGGATTCAGGTTCCCAGCGACCTGCCTGACGGAGATTACGTGTTGGGGTGGCGATGGGATGCGGAGCAGGGCGCCCAAGTCTGGAACACGTGCGCTGACGTCCAGCTCGTGGACCATCCCGTCGCGGAAAAAGAATGGGCCGCATGGGACGACGCGTGTGCTCACTATCCTCCGACGAGCACGCCTACAAGGCGGTAGTAAGCTCCCTCGCACAACACTGGGCACGGGACTGGCGCGCACTGGCACTAACACAGGTACACCAAGAAGAATTCTTAAAATACAAGCCTCTCTCACAGCACACTGGCACGACAAGGGCGCGGACTGGCGCGGACTGGCACACACACCGGCTCACCACCGGAGCCGCCTAAGCGACTCCGTTAAGAACGGCAATGCACTCCGCACCATGCACAATGCCGCTCTCCCCGCACGCTAGCTCGTTCACCGTCTGCCACGCCACGGCGGTGTGGAGGACCACAGACATGCTCTCTCAATAGATGAACTCAATGGTGGGGCCCTCCGGTCGTCGCGAGTCGATTTTCACACTGTATCCCTACTGCTGTCAGTGTACCCGACACGGCGACGACAAAAACAAGGTACAAACTCAAAGACAAACAGTCTTCGCTCAACTGTTACACGCAGCTCGCCCGCTCGCCCGCGCTCCGCAAGAGCTCGAGACGGAGACTCCAACGCCCCTTAGCCGCCCAACAGCGGCGAGGGGGCGGAGGCCGATGGGTGTGCGCCGCGCTGCCGCGCAACGCCCACACCTCAGACGCCGCGCTGCATCGCCGCCGCGCGCGCCGCCGCCTCGGCCGCTGCAAGGGCGTTGAGGTCGCCCCCGCCGCTGAACTCTCCGAGAGGGGCCATCGTGAGCCAGACGTCTCTTGCGGCCGCCTGTGGGACATGTCTCGGACACGTCGCGGACGTGTCCCGGACATGTCCGTCGCCACAGTGCTTGTAGGCTTGGCCGCCTTGGGGGCGCCGAACGCGAGGAAGAAGACGGCGGGCCGCACCACCTGCCGAGATCTGCGGAGATCAGCCGAGATCAGCCGAGATCAGCCGAGATCAGCCGAGATCGGCCGAGATCACACCGAAATCGGTGGCATGGCGCGAGGTTGGTGTCGGTGGGCGGCGGCGCGCGTCAGAGTGGAGCGGCTCGCTCTCGGGGAATCATCTCGGCGAACCTCGGCGAACCTCAGCGAATCTCGGCGAATCTCGGCGAATCTCGCGCCTCGAAGTGGCGCGGGTCGGCGCCGTGGTTGTGGAGTGAGTGGGCGACCAGCCGGGCGGACGCGTTGGACGCGCCTAAAACGAGCAGCGCTCTCGCGCAGTAAAAGAAAGAGTTGGGGGCGCGGACGAGCACCCGCGACGCCTCGGGTGGGCTGCGCGCCTAGACAGGACGAACGGCAGGGCAGTACAAAGAAAGAAGCGGACCAGCACGCGGGCGGAGGCGCTGGACGCGCCGGCCGCCGCGCCGCCCAGCGAGCAGAGCTCGAAAGAGAATCGCAGCTCGGCGGGCCTAAGGACTCCGTCAGCACAGGCGCCTCCAGGAGGTGGGTAGAGAGGAGAGGTCGCCCCGCCCTCATGCGGTCTCTGTGCAAGTCCCTACGCTGTCGGGCGTTCTAGCTCGCGTAGGCGGCTCCGATGATGGCCGGTGTGTGTGCTGTGTCTTGTGTCGCCTGTGTGTCGCTCGTGTGTGACCGCCACCCCCGTCTTGCATCCACCCTTACCGCCCGGTGCCCAGTGTCTGGCCAGACTGTGCCGTTGCGTCGCTATCTCTCTATCCAGCACCTGGCGTCTTGTCTCATGGTTCTCTGTGTCGCGCGTGTGTGGCCGTCACCGCCCGTCCCGCGTCCACCCATACCGCGCTGGTGACCGCGCTGGTGTCCCAGTCGTTGGTGTGGGTGTGACTGTGCGTCGCCTTCGATACGCACGAGCGCTAGTGCGCCAGTCCCGTGTGTCGTGACAGTGGGGGAGACGTGTGTCCTGAGAGCTCTAGCTGCGCCAGTCCCGTGTGTCGTGACAGTGGGGGAGGCTTGTGTCCTGAGAGCTCTAGCTGCGCGGGCCTCATCGACGGGTAGTCCTCGTGCACCTGTCGTGAATGAATGAGTTGATTAATGAGTGGGGGTAGTCCTTGTGCGCCTTAATGAATGAGTTGATTAATGAGTGGGGGTAGTCCTTGTGCGCCTTAATGAATGAGTTGATTAATGAGTGGGGGTAGTCCTTGTGCGCCTTAATGAATGAGTTGATTAATGAGTGGGGGTAGTCCTTGTGCGCCTTAATGAATGAGTTGATTAATTGGTGGGGGTAGTCTTTGTGCGGCTGCATTAATGAGTGAATCCATTCCTCCCTTCATTAGCGGGGGCAAGTCTTTGTGGCACCTGCCATGAGTGATCTCGGGTGATCTCGAGTGATGATCTCAGTGATCTCGCGTAAACCTGGGATGATCTGCGATGATCTCGGAGGACCTCGATCTCGGGCGATCTCGGGCGATCTCCGTGCACCAGATTGATGAGCGCGTCGAGGAGGAGCCGGTGACCGCTCCCCCCGCCGCCTCCGCCTCTCTCCTCCACCCCTGCCCTTCCGCCCCCGCCTCCTCCACTGCCTCCGCCGCCACCGTCTCCGCCTCCTCCGCCCGCCGCCGCCGCCGCCGCCTCGATCCGGGCGGCCGGCGCGTCGCCGTCGCGCACCTCGGTAGCAAAGTACGGCATACTACACATTATGGTATCACCGCGCAATGGAAATCAGTCATCAAGTCATCACCGCTCAATACGCACCTCGGTGGCGAGGTACGTGCCCCAACATCCGCCCTTGAGGCCGCGCTGGCGCAGCGTCTGCGGCTTGGACGGGTGTGCGGCCGCCATGGCCGGCCGCACCTCCAGCGGCGACTGCGACGTCGTGAGGGCGAGCACGGTACCTGTGCGCTGAACACGAGGCTTCAACCAGGATGGCGGATGGCTGATTTAGGCGGGATCGCCTAGGGGTGGGGGAGGGTGACCTCACGCCACCCTCAGGGGCGGGAGTGCGGTAGCGTGCTGGGAGACCTGTGCGCTGACCACGCCATTATCAGGGGCGGGAGTGGGGTGCTGAGCAATAGTATCGGGGGACACCGCGTGAATGCAAAGGGTACGAAGCCGGCCGAAAGCCGCGGACTACGCGAACTCTCGAGCGCTGGTTGGAGCACAGGAGTCCGTCCTCCACTTCTAGGGGGAGCGGCACCGTCATCGTAGAAGCGCCAGAGGCGGTAGTAGGTGACCCACTTGCCGCAGCGCGCGTAGAAGTCGACGTCCTTCTCCTTCATCCCGCGGCCCTCGTTGAGGCCGGCCAGCAGCTTTGTGTGCGCCGACATGTAGACGCCGTCGAACCGGAGCCGCGGCCGGAGCAGGAACATGCGCTGCCACGACCAGGCATAGTCGCGGATCACTCGGTCGCACGGCGCGTGGCCAGCAAGACAAAACGCCTCGCGGCAGCGCCGCTCCCAGACGGACGGGTGCCGCCCGAGCGGCCAAAGCACGCGGCAGATGGTGGCAAGGCGGCACACCGCGGTGAAGTCGCTGAGCTCCGCGATGTGCAGCCACAGCTCAAAAGGCAGCGGCGTGGCGGCCGCGTCGTCGCCATCGGCGGCGCGCTCCGCGAGCCGCTGGGCGAGCAGGTTGCGGTACGACGGGTGGTAGAGCGCGAGCCACGGCCGCGCGATCCATGACATCGCTGCCGAATCGCTGGGAAGAGAATTTTACCATCCAAGCCGCTCACAGTTTTATAACGGCCCCGCACAACACTGGGCGAGAGAGAGAGAGAGAGAGAGAGAGAGAGAGAGAGAGAGATCTCTCTCACTGGGCGAGACTGGCGCGCACTGGCACTAACACCTTTTTTCGAGCATTTGAGTGAACGCCATGAGGCAACCCGTGCCTTTTGGGCCCGTTTGTACCTCGTCCTGTGCCCAAGAATTTATCAACAACGAACCTACCCGCCAAGAGCACGAGCCCCCTATATCCGGGTAGGAGTGAGTGTGTGTGTGTCACACACACACAACACACAACCACACACACACACACACACACACACACACACACACTCACCGGGTAGGAGCGGGAACCCAGGAGACTACGTTTTTTATATTACAGTTGTATACCATACAGTGGGTTGCGGGCATTAAGAAAACAGGATCCCGCGGCACGCCGCCGTTTCTAAGCCTTTCCACAGCCCTCACCCACCCCACGCCGTGGTTTCTTAGCTCCGGCCGGCACTCAAGCCAGAGAGCCGGCCCGAAGGATTTTTAGGTAAGTAAGAGGTAAGCTGCGGTCCGCGAGGGCGATGCCAGAGTCTGCCGCCGAGTCGGCTCTCTGGATGACGGGAAGACGCACACAAGCCTCCATCCACTCGGCACTCGCACTCCACTCATGGGAGTCCACATCGTATGTTATGTATTATGTATTATGTATTGTGTATGATGCGTCATACATTGCGCATTTCAGACAAGCACACCATGTGTGTGTGCTGGCTGCTACGTTTTATGTGCTCGCAGCGGGCACATGCACATATTATGAAAAGCCCGGATATATATGAAACCTAACGTGTAGACCGGCGAGATGGGGCGCAGCCCCAGCGAGCTCGTTTTTAGAGCGAGCGCAGCGAGCCGATAGAATAGAAAAGGTAGGGTTAGTCTTAACCCGGTCGGTGATAAGCCCGGAAATATATGTGACAAGAAGACCCCCAGCGAGCTCCGCTGTTGCCAGTGCACATACAACCCTAGCCAACTTATGGCAGCCCTAGCGGCAGCGCGAAGTTAGGGTCTGGGCCGAGGGGGGGGGGGGGGGTTGTTAGGGCTGCATATGCTGCGGAGCGGACTCCCCCCCAGCTCTCACACACAACCCGGCGGAGGGTTGCGGCGCTTGAATACATAATACGGATACGTAATACGTAGTACATAGCCCTCTCCGGCGGGCTTTCGGCGCTTGATACATAATACGGATACGTAATGCGTAGTACATAGCCCTCTCCGGCGGGCTTTCGGCGCTTGATACATAATACGGATACGTAATGCGTAGTACATAGCTCTCTCCGGCGGGCTTTCGGCGCTTGATACATAATACGGATACGTAATGCGTAGTACATAGCCCTCTCTGGCGGGCTTTCGGCGCTTGATACATAATACGGATACGTAATGCGTAGTACATAGCTCTCTCCGGCGGGCTTTCGGCGCTTGATACATAAAGCGGATACGTAATGCGTAGTACATAGCCCTCTCCGGCGGGCTTTCGGCGCTTGATACATAATACGGATACGTAATGCGTAGTCCATAGCCCTCCCACGTGCAGGCGCCGCTGAGTGATGCATAATACGGATACGTAATGCGTAGTCCATAGCCCTCCCACGTGCAGGCGCCGCTGAGTGATGCATAATACGGATACGTAATGCATAGCTCATAGCGCCAATGCGACATCGGCAGCGCTGCGCTGTTTGCTGAGACATAAAGGCGAAAACATCGTACGTATTGCATAAGACACGCTATGGACTATGCATTCGCGCGACGTCTGACCCTGCCAATGCATAGGCAGGACACACGGGTGCATATAGGGCCGGTACGTATACATAACAGTACTGACCACGTCTCTTACCGGTTTAACTCTTTTTCCTAAATCTTTGAGTCGTCCTCGAGCGGGGGTCGAAGCTCTCGGCCTCTGCTGGCAGTCTGCTGGGGCGCGGGGTTGCTCGGGTCGGGGTCTGGGTCGGGGCGGTGGGGCGGGGTTGTGGGGTGGGGATGTCGGGGTGGGGTGCGGGTGGGGACTGGGGTGGGCGCCGGAGTGGGAGTGGTGTAACTGCTCCTGTGGTGGGGGCGCGGACGGCTTCTGAGGAAGCCGTCGCCCGCGCCTTGCCTGTCGCGCGAATCGTGCTGTGCGACCGCCTGGGGACGGGTCCGTCCGGAGGACGAGCTCGGTAGATCCGGATGGTCTTCACGCCGGTGGGAGGCACCGAGGCGTCTTGGACGCTCAGCTCTACCTTAGCTCCTGAGGGGCGCGTGGTTTTAACCACGTAGTATGACTACAGCCCACCACAGACACCCTCCCTGCTCCTCACGTGTGCACACACCCTCACCCTCTCCTCTCTCCTCTCTCTCTCTCTCTCTCTCTCTCTCTCTCTCTCTCTCTCTCTCTCTCCTCTCTCCCCTCCTTGTCTGCTGTCTGCCTGACTCAGGCGCAATCTGCCGATGCGAGATTGTGTGTGGGCTGCTCCTAGGGGGCCCTGTGCGATCCGACGGGTAGGGGGGCTGTGCCCGGGCGGTGTCCGGTGCGGAGTCTCCTTCTGATCCCGCCTGTGATGTTGGGTGTGAGGTTGTGGCGGCTTCGATCCCAAGGGGGGGAGCTGGGGGACGAAGGGGTCACACCCGACGACCTCGGGAACTAGCCGGGGCAGTCGGAGAAGGGGCAACTCCGTGCACTGACGGTCGGCCGCCAGAAAACACGCCTGCGTGGATCGCGTCACACCAATCCTCGCTACCCAACGCGGCCAAAGGATATCCACCTCGAGAACCTCGAGAGTACGTGTCTCGGCCACGCACCTCTCGACAATCTCAACTGCATGTGCAACCTTTATATTAAATGAACTCGGGGGCACAGGACGCGGCACAAACGGGGTACACCAAAAGGCACGGGCTGCCTGCACGGCGTTCACTCGAACGCCATGCACATGGCGCGGAGCAGCATCGGGTTGGTGTCGAACCCGAGCGGGTCCTCCTCCCAGTCCCGGTGCCCACCCTCCGCGTCATCCTGCTCATCGTGCGCTTCGAGCACCCTGCCGAGGCACAGGATCGTCCCCTTGGGAATGCCTGCCCCTCGCGCGCGCGGGAACTCTCCCTGCACCGCCATCACGAACTTCTCGCGCGCCCACTTGCCGCCACGGCGGCAGTGCTGGGGCGCGCGCTCGCGCAGCTCCTCGTAGAGCTCCTCGGCCTTCGCCACCTCCGCCGCCCAGCCCTCCGCTGACGCCTGAGCCGCCTTCTTCTCCCCCATGTGCAACCTTCATGTAGAGCTCTCGAGCTCTACGTGTACGTGTGTGTCCCTGAGCGCGGTTGGTCGAAGCCTGGGTCCCGCCCCGCACACCCTGTGGCATCACAGCTCCTCGTGCCTCGGCTGCGGCTGCACTCCTCCATCCACGCGCGCGCCCTCCTGGGACCAGCTCCGTCACGTTCGCAGGTCGTGGTGCGGCGAGGAGGCGACAGACGCCATGGAGCAGCCTGAGGAGCAGTCCACGGAGCATGGGTCGCCGAGCGCAGTGCCCACCGTCGATTCGTCGGATGCAGGCCCTGTTCCTTCCCACTTGGAACAGGGCGGTGGGTGCGATAGTCCAGTGATTTGGCGTGGTTCGCGTCAGAAGTGAGGAAAGGGCCGTGCCCTGCGGCGGCGGCGATTTACAGCAGGCGCTACTCTCTGGTGCAGGATCTACAGAATCGCACCTGCTGGAACAGGCTCCACGAGATCCAGCCACTCCGGGCGCATTTACTGAACGGTAGAATCAGCTGGTCGTCGTGGTCGGATGTTGGCGAGCCAGCAAACGTCACCATTGTCGGTGACTCGCTCGCAGAGCAGCATTTCGTGGCGATCGTGTGCTACGCGTGGAGCGCGGGCGTGCCTATGGACGGCCCGCACATACTCAAGCAAGTGGTCCATGAAAGGGATGCACAGACCATCGACACCCTCATCGGGCAAAAAAAACACTCCCGCGCGGAGAGAATAGAGAGAGAGAGAGAGAGATGGCAAAAAACTCGTCTCGTCACACGCCAAGGGCTTATGCTCTGTCGAGACGTGAGGCGTATGGGCCCAGGAGGGGAGGGCGCATGCGTAACGACGCTGCTAGAGATGCCTTTCGGGGCCCAGAGATAAAACTTCTGATGCCATGCGTGACCTAGTAGTGTCCCCAGCTATGGGCGTGTCCACGTTGGAGCCAGGTGTGGTGTGGACGCGAGAATAGCTCCGCCGTTCATGGAGGCAACCGATGCGAGTCGACTGGTGTGTGTCGTCGTGGTTTCGTATCAAGAATTCTCTCTCTCTCTCCCGCGCGGACTTCAGGTCGCGAAGCTCTACCGCCATCGTGGCCAGGCGCACATAGGGCCCATTCCCGATCGAGGGCGCGATTGTTTGCACTGGTGCGTGGCACCCGGCGTCCTTGATGCGCTCGCCTTGCTCACCTTATATAAGCTGGCAGCGTTCTAATATCTTACAGGTCAGCCGAATTTAAGATTTGAAGGCGGGGAGTCCGTTAGCCTTAAAATCTTGAAAAATGTGTGAACGGACAGCTAAAATCTTGCGAAAATGCGCCCCAGAGCTCTAAAATCTTGGTCTAAAATCTGAAAATGGCCGGCCTCTAAAATCTTAAATTCGGCGGACTTGTAGTAGCGCGTGCGGATCCTGGTTGGTAGGTAAGGTAAGGTAAGGTAAACTTCTCCACACACACGAGGTGGTGGGGCAAGGGGGGGCAACCCTCGCGTCTCCACGTCTAACGACAGGAGCCCCACGGCATTCAAAGTGCAAGGCCCGGTGCGCGTGGGTGAGCGGTGTGTGTGTGTGTGTGTGTGTGTGTGTGTGTGTGTGTGTGTGTGTGTGTGTGTGTGTGTGTGTGTGTGTGTGTGTGTGTGTGTGTGTGTGTGTGTGTGTGTGTGTGTGTGTGTGTGTGTGTGTGTGTGTGTGTGTGTGTGTGTGTGTGTGTGTG